AATCAATAATATTGTATTTCTTGAAAATCGACGCTTCTTTCTGAAGTACCTATAGTATAGTTGAGAATCACTATTGAATACCGATCGAATAAAAGACGGGCATTACGTTATGATATCTCGGGAAATAGGACACTGTTATTCTGACATACAATATTGCTCAAGTTAGTATCCTGACTAGAGCGTATGTCTTGGAAGAGAACGGTATTTGCTCGCTGGACTAGATCAAGGGAAAGCGATTTGCAGAAATATTGTTTTATATCAAGTCATCCAATTTCAGGATAAATGACCTATCTTTTGGTGAAATCGAGGGCAAGAGAGATGAACCTCACTTGGCACGCGAAAATTAACTGGACGATGCAAATGCAAAAGCAAAAGAAATGTCACTATGTAAATTCAATGCAAAACCTCCCCATGGGGGGCTCAGCCTCTCTCCACTAGAACATACGTGGAGGTATAGATATCACGCATCGAGAGCGTACGCGAGGGTCGTGTGGCTTTCTAATGACCACGCAATCGTTCCTAAGGTTGGCCATTTTGGAACCAGTGTACCGTGCGCTATATGTCGACAACACGGTCTATCATACGTATTTGGATTGGACTCCAAGGATGTCCATAGGAAAAATGGGAAATTTTGCACGTTGCACGTTGTGTATTGGACAGAACCATTCATGTGAACCGGCTAATTAAAGCGCTTGGGTCATTACTAGAGGTCCAACAAAATTGGACTTTCTCGGATAAAGCAGCTGTTCTAGCCCATGTAGCATAGAGGATGTCATGTTTCGAACATGGACTTCCTTTGGGGTTGTCCCCCTACTACTTTCAAAATAAAGCATTGAAAGATCTCTATCATCCCCATAAATGAAGGGATAGAGAATGTATGTAATTAAGTGGTTTTCACTTGCTATACTTCTATATTCTCTGCTCATATATTTCAGTTTCTCATGATGAGATACTTCTGATCGAGTTTATGTAAAAGTTTCCTTTTCTTTGGGTGACTGAATTTACATTAGTCGATGGCATAACGTGAAGAGGAGTAATGCTGTATAAACCGTATGTGCTATCTTAGACAACCTGTTGAAGAAATTCGAAGAGCATAATCTCCAGCTTCTCCAGAAGTTCCAAAAGCAAGTGGAGAGGAGCGAGGTGAGCGAGGTGAGCGAGGTGAGCAAAGAATGCAACTCTCTAATTATTGGAAAAACTAGGAGACAAATGCATTTCTCATGAATTTCGTGGATTAATTTGGTTTATTGCAATATGAGTTCGTCTTTAGGCAAAACGAAAGCAACCCAGTTCAAAACTACTTTCAGATGGAGACGCATGCATTTCTCCAAAATGAATTTCTGCTTGATGTTTTTTCTTTTTCATTTTTCAAATTTTCGTCCTTTACTAGATTTTTACTTTTTGAAATTTTGACAACAATCTTTTATATTATAATTGCCACATAAGATGCCACGTCAGCATCTATCTTTAATGGAAGAACCAACTCGAACATAACAAATAGTTTAGGGATTCGATTACACAAAAAAAATGTTGAGAGATCTGATTAAACATTTTGCAATAATTCACGGACTCCCAATGCCTTTATCCTTTTTTTCTTTTCCGTGCATATGATAGGGCTTGTCAATCAATTCACACAAGATCAATAGCCCGTGTATCGCACGGCATTATCAAAAACTATTTCAGGCATGATATTTTCTAAAGCTTTAAGCTTTAATGACTGCTTGTCAACAGTGCTGACTTTTGTAAGGAGGACAATTGGCATTGAAATATTTTTTACACGCTGAAATGTTAGAAAAGCTGCCGATAACATCCTTAACAGTAATAGAGCAGTATGTATTCATTCAGCTAACAAATTATGACAAGCAAACAAAAACGGATGTCAACAAGAAAGCCGAGATTCAAACTAGTCCTAAAATTGATCCTTTACAATCCTGAGTTAGAACAATTCTTGTGGATGTTTTCGTTTGTTATCTTCTAGCCATGCCGCAACCTTGAATTTCTTGTAACGTGTTTCCGCCTTGCGTCGGCAACAGAAGTTACCCAAACGTAGTTTCATAAGCACATGTTGATTTTAAGTCTCCTAGAAGAAAGATGGAAGAACATTCGAGGAAACTTGAACTTTACCTTGATTTAGTTTATCATGAACTTGATGTTTGAGGCTCGGTCTTGGCCGAGCTTGAACCCTTGTCTGTCCCTGATCTTAAACTTGCACTCATTTTAGTCGTGCCCCTTCCCAAACTCACAGTTGCACCCTTTCCTGAAGTTGAACCTCTACCCCTTCCTGTACTCAAAGTCGAGCTGCTTCGTGAACTGGACGCTATGCCCCTTCCTGAATTTGAACTTGTGCCCATTTTAGTTGTGCCCCTTCTTGAACTTGAACCTCTGCCCCTTCCTAAACTCGAAATCGTGTCCCTTCCTGAACTCAAAGTCGTGCCCTTTCCTGAAATTGAACATCTGCCCCTTCCTGAACTCAAAGTTGCACTGCTTCATGAAATTGAAGATATGCTCCTTCCTGAATTTGATGCCTTGCCCTTTCCTGAAGTGGAAGCTGCGTCCCTACCCGACCTCGAACCTTTGCTGTTTCTTGAACTTGAAGCTATACCCCTTCCTCTACCTATTTCTACAGGATCCCTTGCTGGGTTTGAAGCACGTACGGTCACACTTCCTCTGCCTGTTTTTGTAGGTATTCGGTCAGTCTCCACAGTTCTATCTCTCTTCACCTGGACCACGTTGAAATTCCACATTAGTTTTGAGGACTGCAGAATTAAGATAATGCAAATATTCAATACTTACAGAAGAAAGGTCCCCTTCATCCTCAACTTCAGTTGTAGCTTTGCAGGTGCTCTCATGATGTTCAACTCCTTCGCATCTTTGCCAACTCGACCGAACAACATCATTTTGGTAGGCAGGTTCCCCACTCTCAACCTTCTCCTCCTTTCTATTTTCCATACTCGTCGTTTTCCCTCCATTGACATTGCCAGAGTGCCCATTCCTTTCGTCCCTCATTTGGCTTCTGGCCTCAAAAAATTCAGCATTGCCTGATTCTGACTGGAAATCATCAATGGAGGAGGTGCCATCAGTTTCGCTTCCACTCACAGATGCAGAGTCAGAGTCTTCATCAGGACTCGGAACGTCCCACTCAGCCCCATCCTCGTCAGAATACACATCAGTCTTCATTGCCCATTCCTCCCTTAACATCTCCATCATCTCGTCATCGTATTCTCCCTCCCACTCACTGTCAACCCCTCCCTCAACGTACAGATGAATTGATAGTCTTTTAGATGCTAGTTGCACCATTCCCTTCACTTGCTCATCACTCTTGATCTCTATGAGCAAGTCGTGGTATTCACCAGGAGTTTCGTACCACATTCTCTTTAAACAGAAGCCAAAACCTATAACGTCAGCAATCAATCCTTTATATGTCACTGAATTAGGAGTGACATTTTCATTTTCCCTCTTTATTCCACCAATAAACTCAAACCCCCCACTGGGCTTCTTTACTCCAAGGTGGAATATGATTGTGAAGGGACCCCCCAACTGTGATGTAACAAATTCAGTGTCAGAGCAAAACAACATATGTATTGGATATATATTAAACCTTTCTGCTTATCTACCCGAAATCCAATAGGACATAGACATCATTCATTAGTTAGAGACGGGTTTAGGATTAAATACTCAAATATCTAGTGTAAGATCAGTAATACTTATTCGAATTTTCTTTTAGTAACTAATTTTAAACTTTTAATAAGTATGTGATGTAAATTTAAATTAAACACCAAATAAGTAAGATAATTATCTATTTGAGAGTTCTATCTCATCATAGATTGCCTTCTTCTCCACTCTTGATTTGAAGGTTGTAACAACTCATTTTCTATATGAATGGAAACATGAGTTAATATTTGAATCGTTATTTTGTTTTTCTATATCCCACATCCACTAGACAATCCGTTGGAAACAAAAAATAAATGCATTTAAAGAGTAGAGATTTTTACTCTGATTTATTGATAAAAAAATAATCTAGATACAAAATTGATGAATCTACAAATCACAAAATGTAAAGACATAATATATATATATATATATATTCAATTATTTTGTATTTTGTAATCAAAAAAGAGTTTTATTTTCTACTTTTCGAATGAAAAATCCATAACCATGTGACAAATTGTTTCAAATCAGGTTACGAAAGTCTGCAGGTTGTTGTATTCTTTCTTAATCTAAAGTAATATGCTTCAAAATTAATTGGGCATTAGTTTCTCCAGAACGCATTAATGCAATAATCGTATTAAATAGTCCATAATTACTTTTATTATATGTACAATATTATATTTGTGCATTAATTATGCCTATTGCAAAAAAAAATTAGTAGACAAAGAAATCATATAATTTTTTTAAAATCAATAATTTGTAATCTATTATCTAGCATCTTGTCTGTGAAAGCAATTTTGATGAATTAATATTCAGAGAATGATTATGTTAGTTTGCTGGCAATATTAAAGAACTAAAGACTATCCAACACCAAAAATGCCAGTATAGATAAGTAACTCATCTAAGGAAACAAATCAGCCATCTAAAAAATTACAGTGCAACAAAAATGGCAACTTTGAAAGGGCGGATATTTATGTGGCTAAAGAAAGGAATTAAACAAAGTTGCACACATTGATAAAGATGTCGCACCTCGTCTCTGTAATGCTTCAACGAGATTGCAGGTGGGTCGCTCTTAGGACAATCTTTGATATAGTCTCCACAATCCTGTATATTGACGAGGCAATCATCTTGTATATTTGTGCAAGATGCATCAATCAACCTTCTCAATGACTTGCACCCTACGACACTCAAGGATTTTAGAGACTCTAGCTCGTTGAGGCCCTCAACATTAGTAAGTAGATCGCACCCATGGATTTGCAATTTCTCCAGGTTCTTCAAGTATGGTAACCCACCTATTCTTCTAAGAGATTTGCACTGAACAACGGAGAAGGATTCCAGTGATTTCAAAAGAGCCACAACTTGTATCTCAACTAGCTCTGGACATTTTGACACCCACACTTTCCGTAGCTTCCTTAATTCCAAAGGAATAGAAAACCTCTGAAGCTTACAACCGAGAACAGTTACGTTCTTCAGTTGTGGAAGTCCATCTAGTGGAATTTCTTCCGCTGCACAATAACGAATCCATAAATTCGACAAATTTCTCAATCTCCAGTAGGAGGACGGAAGCTGCACGAGGGATTTTAGGTCTAGGTAAGACAAACCAAGAAAATCCAGATGAGAAAGAGAAGCCAACTCTTGAGGTGCAGGGACATTTAGCAGATTCAAATCCAACTTTTCCAGCCTAGATAACCTCCCAATCCACCTTAAATCACGTCCTGTGATTAGGTTTGATTTCTCTGTATTCCTACAGCCATCGCTTAGTTCCAGTCCAACCAAATTAGTAAGGTTCGACAGATTAGGGACAAAGAGCAATGATTCAGATCTAAGATGTAGACAGGTCAAACTTGTGGGAAGCTCTGGCAACTCTCGAATTATATTATAATCCCATAAATGGAGTGCTTGGAGGTGATGAAGCCCGTTGGTTGTCCTTGGAAGTCCACTAATACCGGTGCTCTTTAAATCTGGGATTATTAAAGATGACGATTCTCCAATTCCAACAGGAATTTTACCTCTCATTTTTTTACACCAAGAGAGATCCAGCACTTCAAGATTTTCCAACAGACTGATTCCACTAGGTAATTGCCAATCATTATGCTCTGGAAATGATGATTTAATTTTTGATAAACGCAATGCGCGTATTGATTTTAACTTTTCAATGGAGTAGGGAAGTTCCCTTATTCTTGTACCTGATAAGTTTAACTTTACCAATGAGGTTAAATTCCCAAGCGAGCTTGGAAGCTCTCTCAACCCAGAACAATCCTGCAATGAGAAGTGTTCAAGCTTCACTAGTGCCCCCACTTCTTCAGGCAAATATGTAAGACCTAGGCAATCTACAATCTCTAATTTAATCAATGATCGTAAATCTCCAATGAAGTTTTTAATTCTCTTTACATTGTCGCAGCGTGCAAGAGTCAACCTCTCTAAACCCAAGCATTTGGAGAAGTCTGGAATTGCTGTTATGCCACGACAGTCAGTAAGAGATAGAACTTTCAAATTATGTGCCCTCTGTAAAAATGGATGTCATGTCAAGTGTAAGAACCAATGCATAGCAACACTAGGACCATTAGACTAGAATTAAATCATGTAGTTTACCTTGATCAAGTCCCATGCTTTTGAATCATCGGTGAAGCGATTCCCATCAAGTTTAAAAACAAGAAGATGATCCAAATACATATTGTCCGCCCTAAAATCTTGACAAGGAGAACACCAAGAAATCCATCTCAACTTTGAATGACACTGTGCAAAGTTCCCAGCAAAAGTTCCATTGCTTAAGTTGAGGAACCTTAGGTTTGGTAACCTTTCAAACTCTTCATTTGCAATCTCTATGAAACCATCCTGTACATTTATTTCAAGCGCTTGAACCTTGTCCTTCCTCTGCAAGTGAAAATTTGAAATTTGGTGAAGAAGTTTTTCAACTTCCAACCACTATGTTTTACAACTTGAATGTGAAAGAAACAAATGATAAACATCCTAAATTAAATAGAATCCTTTATCTTAAAATATACAACTTCTATTTGAAAATTGGACGTTTCTTACTTACCCTTTCGGTTCTAATGATTTCGATGGCCTCTTTTGCAATCCACAACCTGCTCCGCTTTCCAAGGTCACTTGGACTTTCTTGACGGACAATTTGCCTTCCCATGTCTATTAGTTGATCATGGATCGAGAACTTGTTATTGTTCAATATCTTTATCAAGCACCTACTGATAAGGACATCAATTCCTCTTTCAGGATAAAACTGACAATCAGCCCACATGTAAATTGCATCCGTCTTCTTCTCATTGAAAAGGAAGCATGCTATATCGAGAAAAATTTGTTGTTGATATTCGTCTAGGTCATCATAGCTAATCCTCAACTTCTTTTGAATCTCTTCCTCGGGTACATTCCTTAACCTGACCAACGTCTCTTCCCAAAATGCTCTGTCTTTCCGTTTAAGTAACGAACCTATCACTTCAATTGCCAAAGGAAGCCCTCCTGTACTTCGGACAATTTCACTGGAAAGCCCACGATAATCATCCAGAGGAAAGTCTCTGCCAAAGGCATGCCGACAAAAAAGCTGAAGTGCAAGAGCATCTTCCATCTTGAGCATCTCATACGGTATAATTTTACCTTTAAAACCCTCAACTTGCATAATAGTAGTGTTTCTCGTTGTAATGATTATCCTAGATCCCGAATGTAATGACTTATCTCCTATTAGTTTCTTAATGTGCTCTTTATTATCAACATCATCCAGAACCACAAGGACCTTCTTAGTGCAAAATATTTCTTCAATCCTCCAAATTCCTTGTTCACTATCCTCGACTCCTTCTGTAGATTCAAAATCAACAATGTTAGACAGTAATTTTTTCTGCAATTGGATTATTCCGTCCTTGGTCGACATGCTTTCTCGAACATCCTCAAGGAAGCTACAGCATTTTCCAAAGTGGGAAGTAAGTTTATTAAAGATGACTTTGGCAACAGTTGTTTTACCAATGCCACCCATTCCATAAATTCCAATGAGTCGCACATCAAGATAGTTGACATCTAATAACTCTATCAAGTGCTTTACTCGATCATCAAGTCCGACTAAATGTTCAGTCACTGATTTTTGTTTTAGCTCCAGTTTCTCCAAAACCTTTTTAACAACCAATTTGACAATTGCTGCTTGGCTGCAGTGTACAAAATCGCTTTCATTAGTTGACTAGATTAATTTCATACTGACACATCGTAAGTGGGATTGTCAAAATGTAACCTGAATAGATTGAAGTACATCACAGAATGAGATCTCAATACATTGAATAATCAGTATAGGCTAATTTAGTATAATTCACGTGATATGTTTTTGATATGTAATTATAGAAATGTCTGAAGACGATAGTATTGGCTCACACGATAGCCAAAGTTACCAAGTGGCTACTAAATTGTGCATAAACAAAATTTCGGCATATCCAGTTAAGCCTAGAAAAATTTTCAGCACTCATAATAGGAGAAACATGAACCAAGATAATGTAGACAAATGTAGCGTTGCACACTGAACACAGCAGTTTTCTCTCACTTCTATTGAATATTGATATATTGATTTTTCTTCACTGAATCTTAGTTTCCTTGTGTAATCTTAGACAAAGCAGAGGATGGAAAGTTGAATGAGACTAGTAATTGCCAATTGGAGGTAGTTTTCAATACTTTCCGTTACAAAAAGAATAAAAGAACTTGTTTGACGAGGCAACGTTGTACATCATATAAAAAAAAATAGGTAGGGGTCTTAAAAGAGTATTACCTTTGGTCCTTTTTCACATTCCATCCCTTGATTTCATCAACCTCTGCAAGAGCCTTTCTCCATGCCTTGACTTCATCAGGAAACTTGTTCTCGTGTTCCCGTAAAGCATTGCTATATCGTAGAGTCTTAAGTTTAACATCTTCAGGTTCCACATCGAGAAAAATAGGAAGGACACTTTTTGTACCTTCTGACTTAGACACGTTGTCTACTATGTGCGCAAGCTCACGGAGGCACCATTTGCTGGAAGCATAAGTTCGAGAGAAGATGGGTATGTAGATCATGGAGTTGTTGATAGCACGTATAAGGTTCCCACCGATCACTTCGCCAACACGGAGTTCTTCTTCATCCCTAAATACACGGACTCCCGCATCTAGCAAGCTGTGGTAGAGGAAGTCTGTGAATCCATGACGAGTATCAGATCCTTTGAAACTCAGGAACACTTGATACGCACTTCTTGATGGTCGTGCAGCATCACTACTTGATCTAGCCTCTGAGTTCGCCATAGCTAGGAAGCTTATTACCTCCGGATCTCTCTCCTATAGAGAAAAAAGGTTGTGTGGCGTGGCGTGGCCTGGCTTAAAAGATGAGTGGGTGGTTTCGAGGCAAGTGAGTGCCAGTACCTAAAAAACTTGGTCGGCTAACTTAAAAGTCAAATTTATTTCTCTATTGCCCACCTAATGTTCCGCATTAGCAAAATAGATTTCAATGAAGGTGTGCAAGACTTTTTAACAAGTTTCGAAATTTTAAAAGACTCATTGGGAGACCATAAAGTTCGCCAATTAAAAATTCTTTTTTTTCCCTTTTAATAAAGGCATCTAGTCCCAAAGTTACCGAAAATCTTCCAACTTTTTTTTATGCAATTTGGTTCTTAAACGAATTACCTTTTTTTCGTTCGAATTGGTTATTTTATTAAAAATTTAAACAGAGATGCTGACATGGCCATTAAATGCTGACATTACACTTTATGGGGCAATTATAATCTATAAAAAATTGTTCTCAAATTTTAAAAAATAAAAATCTGGGAAAAAAAACAGTAATCTGAAAAAAAAAAATAGAAAAATCAAGAGGAGAAGGGAAAGGATAGTGCAGTCAGGCAGCAAGGGCTGCGATCCTCGTCCAGATTTTCAAAGGTGGGGCGGCTCTCGCCCAAATCGGAGGCGAGGGTCAGTAGCCTTCATTGCTTCCATCTATATGTTAAAGAAGATCAGAGTAGGCGGCGGTGCTAGACTGTTAGGTGGCGCACTTCGCAGACCTTGGGGGACTCTGGCGAGGCATGTATTCGTGGACGACTTGTCGAAGAGGACAATCTTCCACTTCTCCAAAAGCTTCTCGAATGAGTAGAGAGGACCGAGGTTAGTGAAAGAATGCAAATTGTCTAAGTATAGGCTGTAAAGGAGACAAATCCATTTGTCGATGAATTTCGTGAACTAATATGGTTTTATTGCAGAATGAATTCACCTTTGGGCAAAAACGATTGCTATCCAGAATGTAGTAACAAAACTCGAGAGTTTCTCCAACGTGAATTTTTTTTTTTTACCTTTCAGATTATAGTTCTTTTCCGGATTTTTTTAAATTTTTTTATAATTTTGAAAACAACTTTTTATTCAATAATTGCCACATAAAATGCCACGCCAACATCTCCCTTTTATATTTTTTAAGGACCAACTCGTACAAAACGAATATATAGTTTAGGGACTCAATTATTCCAAAAAAAAAAAATGCCGACCAATGGACGTGATTGAACAATTTGCAACAGTTCTTGAAACTCGTGACACCTTGTCTGCTTTTCTTTTTCAAGCATATGATAAGGGTGGTCAGTCAATTTACACAAGGCCAAAAATGCCCGGCATTTTCGAAAACTGTTTCAGAAATGATATTTTCGAAAAGATTAGTCCCCACCTTCTGTTATGCTGGTAGCGAATTGTATAACTTTTTTTTTTTTTTGCTAAGGGGTGAATTGAATAACTTGTCAAAAATGGAATAGAGAGAAATTGAGAGTTTTCCATATCTAAATATAATATAATTCTAATTGAAACACTATATAAATATACAAAGTTCCTATTTTTGTTTCTAAACGTTTTTTCTTCCAAAAATACCTTTCAAATTACAAGCTAACGCGTATTTTTGCATTTTAAGCCAATTACAAATTGACACATATATATTGATGTGGAATTATATAAAATAAAATAAAATTTGGGCCAAACCACCTGCCGGCAACCCTTGAGCCCATCCTCAGAGCCTCCTTCCGACGTCGCCGCTAGCAGAGCCGTCCGTGCCGCATCTAGACCGACACTGCTGCGCGTCCAAGCCGAGCCACCCCTCCTTTTACCTTGCTCATCCATGGCAGCTGCCTCCATATCTGGAGCCGCTCGTGGCCAAGGCTCCAGATCGGGGATCCAATTTGGATTCCAGAGGAACGGAGCACTTAGATCTCGCGGACAAAAAGAACAAAGCAGTGGACGATCATTCAGATATGTGGACAAGAAGAAGAGGAATGAGCTCGCGGCCAAGGCACAACTGCCGGGACGACGGAGGGTGCCGGGACGACGGAGGGGGCGGAGGTCAGCCTGGATGTGTCAGTTGGCCGTCACTCAACGGCCAGATCTGCGCGAAGTGGTGGCCATGAATGGAGGAGGAAGAGAAAGAGTTAAAAAATTATATCCCCCTTTTTAAATAATTTATTCCACGTGTCAAGTTGTAACTAAATACCAAATAAGCGTATGCCACGTCAACAACTGACGTGTCGCTCGTAAATCACTGAAAATATGAAAAAAAGGTCTCTCTCCATCTAAAATAATTTTAATGCATGTATTTGTTCACAGGACGATTCGAAGTGAACTTTGTATCAATTAAGGGCTTAAAGTGGCCTAATTTGTCTCAAATAAGGGATTAACCTCGCCAACCGGCCAAATGTTCGCCAGCAGGCGAGCAAGTGATTTTTCCGGCGAATTGAACATGAGCACTTTTGTCCAAAAAAAGTATGAATAGAAAAATATAAGCCCTAAAATTCAGAAAAATCCCAAATTACTTTTTTGTTTTTCATCTTTTCTTTCCATCTTCTTTGTTACCTTGGGAGACCACCCATCGCATTGGACGCCATACGCACGACCTCACTCACCATCACTGCCGGACTCTTCAGATACTTCTTGACTGGCATCGGTTCACCGTCGGATCTCTCCAGGTAGCTGCCGAGGAAAAGACCGTTGAAGTGCAACTGACCCTCGTTCAGCCTCCTCAACACCTTAGCACACGCGACCCTCTCCAGCCTTTCCGGTCTTCAAGGATGCGCAGATGGCCAAAGTAGAGACCTTCGCGTTCCATGTGGAGATCAACCAGCTCCTAAGCTTGATTTACCAATACTTTCTACAGCAAAGGAGATTTTCCTTCAGGAACTTATCCGCAATTCATGGAAGCAATGCAAGCCGGTACTGATGGTAGCATGATTGGACAATTTGGTGTTGGGTTTTACTCAGCTTACCTCGTGGCCGAGAAAGTTGTGCAATTAACTTGCCTTTCAATTTACTGTTGAACGAATAATTATGAGAAAATTTCGCGTTTAAGCTACATCCACCCAAACACTTTTTAGATCTTTTCTCCAAACTCGAGTTGACTTCTTCTATTTACCATGAGTTTAAGGGGCTAATTCCAAAAAAACAAAAACAAAAACTTTAGGTTGAGTGACAATTCTGGCCTTAATTTTTTTTGTCTCGTAAAAAAGCACCGACTTTAGATCGAGTGACAATTCTGGCCTCGTCTTTTTTTTTATCTCATAAAAAATCACCAACTTTCATCATTATCCCAAATCTAGCCCCCTGTTGACTTTTTATCTGAAATCACCATTGTTTGAGAAAAAATGTTATGATCGTGAGCTTGGTGGATCTCTCCATGGCGTCTGTCAATGGGCGATGGTCTACAACTTCAAATAACGACAAAACGACAAAGTCTGACAGGAGAGATTCATTCTATAGATCTTTTTGACTTGCCGGTGAAGTGAAGGAGATGAACAGTTTTACCGTTATTCTTCAAGTTGTGGCTCAGAGAAGAAGACAATGAATAGTGCTTTAAATCCAGTCAGCAAGCCACGTGGATTTATTGCTGAGGTGGAATGTCAAGTTGGATAATCAATTATTCTAAGTCAAGGAGGGCTAGATTTGGGATTTAAGTTAAAGTTGGTGATTTTTTACGAGACAAAAAAAAGTTGAGGGCAGAATTGTCACTCGATATAAAGTTTGTGCTCTTTTTTGGAATTAGGCCTGAGTTTAAGGGGATGTTAGAAATAATTAGGAGATTCTCTATATCTTCCTTGATTGTGCATAACTAGAATTGACTATAATTTATCATAATTGATATTGTAATATCTTGTTACTTTAGATGATATTTCTATAAAGCCTAAAAATACCTCATGTACTCATTGTGATAGACACAAAAATTATACAATTCTCTTTTACTCTAATCTTTGAGTATATGAAATTTAGAATTAATAGCATTGCACTTCTTGAAAATCGATGTTTGTAAAGCACATATAACATAGTTGAAAACCACTATTGAATACCAACCGAATAAAAGACAGACATTGCATTATAATGTCTCGGAAAATAGGATATAGTTATTCCGACATACGATATTGCTCAAGTTAGTATCATGACTTGTTATGTCTTACAAGAGCACAATATTTTGCCTCTTTGGACTTAGATCAAGAGAGAGTAATTTCTAGATGTGTGTTCCATCAAGTCATTCAATTTCGGAATAAATTACCTATCTTTCATGAAATTAGCAGGAGAAATGGGAACTTTTGCACGTTGAACGGTGTGCATTGGACAGAACTATTCATGTGAACAGGCTAATTTAAGCACTTGGATTCTTACTAGGAGTCCAACAAGATTGGGCTTTCTCTGCTAAAGCAGCAGCTTAAGCCCATGTGGCATTGAAGATGTCATGTTTCCAACATGGACATTTTTTTCTAAATTGTCTTCCTGCTAGTTTCAATATCAGCAATCGATGATCTCTATCATCCCAAAATTAAGGAAAAATTATCAAAATAGTTTAAACCTATTGCAATTACGCAAATTCAATCATAAACCTTTTTTTTGTACCAATTCAATCCTAAACTTTTTACATTTATGCCAATTCAGTCCATCTGCCCAATTTTGGCCGGCCGGCGCTGATGTGGCAATTTTTTAATATTATTTTTTATTTTATCGAATTTTTTTTATTTTTTTCCTTTCTCTTTTTTTTTTCTTTCCTTCTTCCCCTGGCCAGTGGCCGGACTAGCCAGGGGCTTAACCTCGACGACCACTGGTGAGGCTCGCCCCCAACGACGGCGAGGGCAAGCCTCGCCCAACGATGGCGAGGGCAGAGCTCACCATGGCTAGGCGAGCTCAACCTCGCCCACAGCCACGGCGAGGCTCGACCTCGCCAGATCTAGGAGAGGTCTAGCTCGTCTAGCCATGGCGAGCCTCACCCAGCGACGGCGAGGGAAAAGTTCTCCGTGGCTGGGCGAGCTCGAGCTCGCCCAAATCTAGCAAGGTCGAGCTCGCCTAGCCGACCTCACCATGGCTGGGCGAGGCTCGACCTCGCTCAGCAACGGCGAGGGCGAGACTCACCAGTGGCTGGCGAGGTTGACCTCGTCGACCCTAGCCGGTGGCCGGTCCGGCCACCCGCTAGGGGGAAGAAAGAAGGAAAAAAATAAAGAGAAAGGAAAAAAATAAAAAAAATTCGAAAAAAAAAAAATATTTAAAAATTGTCACGTCAGCGTTGGCTGGCCGGCCAGCGTCCACATTAGCACCAGCCGGCCAAAATTAGCCGGATGGACTGAATTGGCACAAATGCAAAAGGTTTAGGACTGAATTGGCACAAAAAAAAGGTTTATGACTGAATTGACATAATTGCAATGATTTAGGACTGTTTTGGTAATTTTCCCCCAAAATTAAAGGACACAAAATGTATTTAATTAAGTGGTTTTCACTTACTATACTTCAATCTTCTTTTCTCGTGAATTCTCCCCCACGTTCTCTTGGTGAGTTTGTAACTACAAAAAAGTTGTTGCATGAATTGGGATAATTCGGATTGAATTAACGTAAAAGTTTCTTTTTTTTTCCTTTGGTGCAAAATGAGTTTACATAAGTCGGATGGCATAAAACGGAAATGAGTAATGCTACATAAAACATTTTATAAAGAATTAGTATATAAACTGATAAGATCGCATGTGCTACTGTCACCGATTGTTTCTATATAAATGACCGAGTTTGGCTTATTACCGCAATTGATGATTGTGGATCACATAGAATTTGGTACATCAATAAACTATTCTATTGTACATTACATTACTCAATGTTGAAATACCGAATGTCACGTGGTGGGAGAGAGAGAAAGACCACATCCATGTTGATTGATGGCTAAACCTACAAAGTATCGAAATCTTCAAATGTCGACTTCGCAATACTCTTTAATTAGTGCACCAAATACAAATTGACCACATCCATATTGATTGATGTCTAAACCTAGGAAATATCAAAATCTCAAAATTTTGACTCTGTGGTACTCTTTAATTAGCGCACCAAGTACAAATTGACTCACGTAAGTTCCTCCTCGGATACTAGCCTAGCTTTAACAACTTCTACTTCTCATGATCTTGAACCCTTCCATGTAGTCTCACCCTAGTCTAGTTTCCATATGAATTCTAGAAAACCATCCTACAATGACAGTGACTTGACGGGGATTATAAAGATCGGGTCCTAGACTTGTTCGATATCTGGTCCGAGCTTACATACACGTCCTCTCTACCGAACAATATAACCTCATTTATCGAATTCTTTAATACGATGTTCGAGCAATATTCATTATCCCCATTCCCCAATTAATGTTAAATTGATTCTACCTCCAGTAATTGCTGCATAATTCCCCTCTTTTCAATTAATGGGATGTGAACTCGATGAAACAATTAAGATGGAATATAGACAAAGAGAAGGGTCTAGAATATATGTTGAGTAGGTCAAGCTGAACGTGAGATTGATCCATTGAAAATAACCAGGGTGTGAATATCACACTTCCATGCATTCTCGAGCATAACTGGTCCATTTTATGTCTCGGTTTGCAAGTAATGATGCGCTCAAGTAATCTGCCAAGGTTGACTATGTTCCAATATATGTAAGTTGAAACACATATATTAAGTTTTGAGGCTGCTTGTATCCGTGAACTATACTTTTTTTAGGGATAAATAGAGGACATGCCTGAGTCGAATAGTTCAACCATTTGACTATGTTGTTGCCCACGTTTTCTTTCTCATACGAGACCGATGAGTTTAATTCGTGAAGCTAAATCAAACAAGAAATTGACGTCGTCCGACGATGCCTTAGGAACGCATCTATCATTCGACTTTTATACGGTACACAGCTCGCGTCAGTAACTCATTTGCTAAACCGGGTCACCTTCATTGCCATTGATAATGTTGTTATAGCTTGACAATTTGACTCACTATCCAAATCATTAGCAATTGATGTGGGTTTTGTATGTGGAAAAAAAGAAAAGAAATTACACAGGTTTTTTTTTAAATAATCCTTTATTATTTTCCTTGACCCTTGTGGAGGAGTATGTGTTTCTTATTTCGCATTTTTACAATGTCACGTTATATGGAAACTTAGGTTTTCATGCATTGTTACTACTTAATGACATAAATCTAATATCTGTTTTTTCTTCATTATAATCGGGTTTTACTTGCTATTATTTTTCTATACCATTAATGTACAAAAATAAAAGTTACTTTCCTCTTTCTTGTACCCATTTTAATTTTTTGCCAAGAGGCCTTTTAACATTTTCATTATCTTTTTTTTTTAAGTTTGGTAACTTGAACTAAGTTGAGAAAAGTCAATTATAACTTTTCAGGTACACACTTTAATCAGCACCTTGCAAAAAGTCAATCATGTAATTGAATGAAGGTGGTTGAATTCCCCGCCATTATTAATCAAGAAAGGCGGCACGTATGACAAATATACCTCACGTTAAATTTTTTATTACCATAAACGTTAAATTAGTACATTTATAACAAATTTATCCTTTATTAATTTTCATTAAATTAAATTAATACCACAAAAAAATATAAACTGGTACACCTGTGATAAACGGAGGGTAAATCTTCAAACTAGTACACTCGTCAACTGTCACTTATTATCCAACTCAGCAATTTGAACAGAAACTAACGGAGGGTAAATTTATCATAAATGTACCAGTTTTGAATTTTTGGTGATCAAAAAATTAGTTTAGGATAAATTTATCATAGATGTATTAATTTAAAATTTTTGGTAGTATAAATCCTTTTAATTTTTTGCCAAGTCTCCTTTTAACCTTTTCATTGTCTTTTTTTTTTTTAAGTTTGGTAACTTGAACTAAGTTGAGAAAAGTCAATTGTAACTTTTCAGGTGCACACTTTTAATCAGCACCGTCCAGAAAGTCAATGATGTAATTGAATGAAGGTGGTTTAAGTCCATGCAATTATTAATCAAGAAAGGCACCTCGAAAGGCAAAGGGCTTTGGAAGAAAAAACAGGCAAAGAGAAAGTTCGATAGGACCGTGCTGTCCCTATGGACTATTAAGAGACTGTTTGGTAACCAGTTAAATAGTATCCGTTTCTATTCTTTTGTTTCATAAAACAAAAAAAGAATAGAAATCCGTTTGGTAAATTTTTTGTTCCCGAGCACAAATTTGTTCCTAGAATCAGTTTTGGAACATAATCAATAATAAAAAAGGAGAAGTTAATTCTTGATTCTGAGAACAAGAATCAAAAATGGATTTTCTTCTTCTTCTTCGTGGCTGGTCTTCTTTATTTTTCCTGGCCTGTGGCCGATCGCCGGCGGCTCGCCGTCGCCCTCACCCAGGCCGTGAGGGTTTAGCCCTCACCCTCGCCGGCCGGATTTGGCGAGGGCAGCAGCCCTCGCCCAAGCCGCGAGCCACCCTCGCCGAATCAGGCGAGGGCGGCGGCTAGGGTCCAACCCTCCTCAGATCTGGCGAGGGCGGCCCTCACCCAGGCGGCGAGGGTCCAGCCCTCACCCTCGCCGGCCCTGGCCTGTGGCCGGTCGCCGGTGCCGGTGACCTGGCCATGGGCCAAGGAAGGAGAAGAAAAAAAAAAAAAAAAGGAAAAAAAAGAAATATTAAAAGATTCAAAATATTATTAATAAAAAGAAATTTTATGTAGTTACCAAACGCATTTCTGTTCTTTTTCTATTCCGGGAATAGAAATTTTGGACAGTTACCTAGCACCTTCAAATACTTAGAAATTATTTTCATGAATGAAATAAAAAAAAATCATTTCTGAGCAGAAATTATTTTTTAGGAACAGAATGGTTACCAAACACACCATAAGTTACTTTCGAGCAATTGCACATCTACCTCAAATGAGCAAGTACCCAACATTCCATTGACACAAAATCTTCCGTCTTTCGCAAGAAATCGGCTGGCTTTGTGCATCTTCATGAATGGAGAGACAAAGAGAAGGATAAAAAAGCACCACTCACGAGATGACATTTGGGATTATAATTTAGTCGGTCTGACGATGCGGCGGTTTATTTTCGCAAGCAATATCATAAATTTGTGCTTCTAATGTTTATTTCGTTAAAAGTCGGTTTTGATGATTAAATGACTCAACTATCGACGGGTGGACACATGTAACGACAATAACCGCAATAACTTCTGCAAACTGTACTGATAAGTACGGCGAGATAGGTAACGACATTTTACCAACTTGTGGGTTAGTTCCCCTCTAAGTAGCTGGCTAGTTACGATCGAGCCCCCGTGCTATCGAACAAAAGAAAACGAACTCATCGATTCATGTCTGGCCAAGCCTACAATGACTTTACGTTTGAGAATGATTCATATCTCCATCGAAAAAAATACGAGTAATGTAAACATACAATACGACCTCGTGGAACATGAGAGCCTCAAGTACATCGTGTACTGGTGACCATAAAAGTAAAGAGGGAAAGAAAAGGTAAGAAATGTGATTTGCCATGGCGTGAATGAGTAACAGCTTTGACTGCTTCTGTATAAAAGAGAAATCCATTAATTAATGATAATGAAAGGTCTATCTACTAATGTTAGAGAGAGAGAGAGAGAGAGAGAGGGGCGGGTCATGCGGAGTCAAAGCTCAGGGACTATATAGCCACCAACTTCTATACACCTCTCTCATCCAAACCCAAGCCCCAGCAGGATTTTCTTCAATAGCTCTTGCGTCTCTGAGTTCTCCCTCTCCATCTCCCTCTCCCTCTCCCTCTCTCTCTCTGAGATCTCGCAGAGCCTGTGGAAAGATTGTTTCAGAGTCGCAAAGGAAGGTAAGAGAGAGGAGCAGTGAAAGAGAGATGGGAAGAACACCGTGCTGCGACAAGAACAACGTCAAGAGAGGGCCGTGGTCGCCGGAAGAAGACGCCGCCCTCAAGTCTTATGTGGAGGCTTTCGGCACTGGCAACAACTGGATTGCCTTGCCCAAGAAAGCTGGTTCGTCTTTGCTCTCTCTCTCTTTCTTATCAAATTATATCAGTTTTCGCCTATATTGTTCGGTCTTGAGGTGAAACTCAAATTCATTTTCTGTTCATCTTCACATCGTGGGTCTTTTCAGATTGTCTGCATTTACATGTGTGGGGGATGTAGATGTAAGAATTAACACTGATGTGAGGAGTACAGTCAACTGCTTAGGGTTTGAGAAGTGCCCGGTTTTGCGAGAAAAGAAAATCAACCTGGATCGCCATTTTAATTAATTTTCTTCAGGTCCATGCCACATAGCACGTCCAGAACCTAAGATGGAGATCAATATACGTGCCCCGAATAACGTAAAATGCCTAATTTTAACATACAAAAGACATATAAAAGATCTTATTTATTTTACTGAGGCGATTTGCATCTCGTTCGTTTTCTTGCTTTGTATCTTATTATGGCTTCATAATTTTAGCTATCACCTTACCAATCGATCATCACTACAAAACAGGTCTCCGCCGATGCGGCAAGAGTTGCCGTTTGCGATGGCTCAATTACTTAAGGCCCGATGTCAAACATGGCTGTTATACAGAGGAGGAAAATAAGATGATATGCAATATCTACAAGGAAATAGGAAGCAGGCAAGTGCTTGGTTAATCATTAATTAACTTCCATCTATTTCCTTACTTTGCTTCCTACAATATTGTAATCAGGATTAGTCAGCTATCGGCTAATTTGACCCTTGATTAGTATAAATTACTAACGCATCTTGCCCCCACATTTGTTTTAATTTCGTCAGATGGTCGATCATAGCATCTCATCTACCCGGACGAACGGACAATGACATCAAGAATTATTGGAACACCAAACTGAAGAAGAAGCTGTATTTATATGAGAAGATGAATCCTACAAGTAAAAGCGTCAAATGTGTGCCCAGCACCAACAGTGTCACTACTCCTGATGATCGCGGCCTAGAACAACACATGTTGCCCATGCCGGAAAATGTGCGTTCCAACCAGATTAACAATATCCCAGCTTCACAATCTCTAGGTCCATCGGCGACATATCCAGCATTCTCCGATGCTCGGAATGGATCATCGTTGTACAATTGTAATGTGCGGTCCAACATAGCATCCGAGATTGGAGGTGGAATCGCAATGAGCGGCGGGAGCAACATTTCATCATCGTCGGCATCGTCATCATCCCAAGACTATTATTCGGGCATCTCAAACAGTTCGCCTTCTCTGGGAGTGGACAGCGAATCCATTTGGCTCGGCAGCGACACTAACAGTATCGGCGAATCCGGTATATTGACGGATAACGGGATGGAATATTTGTGGGATGCTGTGAACGAGCTATTATTCAATGAAGAGACCAGTGACGAAGAATTGTTGGCAGCCACCTTGTATCCGAATTTTGCTGAATCAAGTGGTTACAGAGATTTGATCATGCCAAAAGGCGAGAACCAGGATGATGCTTTGATGAGCATATCTGAAGGAAGAGAACAACTAGAGAGTGGCAACCAGATGTGGAGAGATGGACCATGATGATATTAGAGAAGGCGAGTTCTAGCTGGATAGGGAGATTCAATTTGTCATTCTTTTTTTTTTATGGATTCAAGGCAACTTCTTTGTTTTTAATAAATCATTTGCTTGTCTTGATCAAATCTAGTAGATGGAGAGAACAGATTCATATGTGCAGATCAAATAAATTTATAGAAAAAAGGTGCAAATTTCGAATCTAGTGTTCTCCTGCTTTCTTGATTCATGAGATTATGTTAAAAAAAAAACGATTGCATTAACTGGTGCCGGTCATATAAACTAGTACAAAGATTTAGTATAACCACCCATTAATTTATACATTTGCTAAAACATTTGATTGCCCACTAAATTACTAATACATAAATAACTTGTTATAAACTTTGGTTGGCCCCTCAAATTGCTCTTTCTGGGTATGTTCTTAATGTTGAAGATAAGGAGAGAATCTCCAAGATGATATTGATTAATTATATGGGTAGTAGCAAAAATCTGAAGAAAAGAAAAGAGAGATAACGTCACTCTAAATTGGATCCAATTGGAGGCATACTTTTAGGTGAGTGGAAAAGCAATAAAAGATGCACCCCTTGTACACAATGCCGAATGTAGACAACCCTAACTCAAGCAATGTGAATCCATCTCTCTCTCTCTCTCTCTCTCTCTCTCTCTCTCTCTCTCTCTCTCACACACACACACACACACGTGTTGTGAGGTCTCTCTTGACTTGGTCCTGTTTGCTTTGCTCGTGACCTGTGATTTGTGAGGAAGGCACGATGAACATGAGTTGGGGAGAATGACATAAGGTTGTCTCCCTCTTTCTGGGTATGCTGGGGTTCATGAAAGTTGCATGGGTTTTGTGACAGTTTCAAGACTCACACAACTTCTACATGGAACCTTTTTAATGAAAGATACAGGAGGATAAAGCCAAAAATGTGAGAAGATGACGCAATTAGCGTATCGTGTCACGTTATATCACGGGACAAAGGTCCGACTCCTTGAAAAGTGACAAAATGCGAGTGACAAAGGTGTGGAACAACCTATTTTGTCTCGAATCAATATAGGACGAACATACTTTGCAGTCCCAAAACTCTTTCCGTATAATACAATATCTTTCATTAGAATACAACTTGATCGCCAGGCCTGATTGTTGATGTTCCTTCAAAATGTCATCTAAATTCTAAAAATTTGTGAAATACAATAGCTTTCATTAGAAGAGGAAACAACTTTTTACTTTCCTGTCAAGATTTAAAATGTCATCTAAATTCTAAAAATTTGTGAAAAACAATAGATGTGAATTTACGTGCCAATAGTCATATATTGGGAAAGTTTCGAGTGTTCCTTATTAATCAAAGTGTGCGAGCCAAGATTTAGATAAGCAAAAAGTAAATAGCGAGAGTCTCTCCAGACACACTAAAATCATATTCTGTGATCCCAGAAAGACAAGAGGTATTGAACAAACCATCAAAATATGAATGAACATACTTTGCAGCCACAGACTCGTTATAATACATAATCCCTTTGACTAGATTCAGACTATATTGTTGGAAAAGCGGTTTTGTGATTCATATGGGAACAGGACTCAGTAAGACAGAGACACAGCACGCTTAGTGAAATCATCTGTGAGAAAAAGACACCAAGTTCGTGGACTGAAATGCAGTCTCGCACGAGCTTTCGAACCGGTCCATGTTGCGGGGGATAGAAAAGTGTGGATAGACCGAGACAATGGAGTGTTCAGCTAGATAAACCAAAATCAGACCTGCCTCTGAAAAACATTGGAGTTTCGTGCACCTAACAAAGGATTTCCTAAGAAGAAAGTATTATATGATTTAGAGAATTGGCAAAAGTATTGCTATGATCTTTGGTGTCGACATCACTTACGATGTCATTTGAGCATTTTCGGAGTGCTATTCAATGCCCTCCAAGACTAGGTCCAACGGCGTGCGATAGCCATGTATCTATATGCCTTATTCAAGCCACATAGTATGAACCTAATTGATGAGCTAGTCAGACTTGGTACGAACTTAGAAAACTCTTGCCCATGCTTGACCCTGGTTAAAATTGTCTTCGCATTTTAAAAAAGAAATTGACCTGATTTGAGCTGGGCCGATTGTGCAGGAAGTAAACGGCTTGCCTAGGCCCATCATTTACGCCGCGTGCCCGCCGGCCCAATCACATAGTCGCTAGTTCCCATGAATCGCTAACCAAATATATCTTACGCAACATTCTAAGAGCACTATAGGCATTGACTCCATCGGGGTTTGGTGCATTCATGAATAAGTGCTGTGGGCCAAATGAAGCCCTAATTGGTTTTCTATTCTCTGCAGATTTTGCTGCACTGCATGGCTATTATATTACAAAATCGATTTAATCTTTAGTGCTGGGCCTGTTAGCATCTCTTTTTTGCTTTCTTATCGAAATCTAAAATATTATTAGAATATTACAGAAGTTTCGTGAGTTTCGCTTTCTAAAAGAAAAGTCAAAAATGTGCGTGTTACATGATTTTGATTTAGTAGAAAGTAAAAAATAAAACTTAAGGTTAATATCACAAAAAAAAATCCCAAATTGGTATATCCGTGACAAATTTACCCTCAATTAGTTTCCGTTAAATTTTATCGTCAAATTTCTAAGTTGGATGACACGTAACAGTTGACGGGTGCACCGGTTTAGAATTTTACCCCTCAGTCTGTTACAGATTTATCAGTTTGTGGTTTTTCATGATATTAATCTAATTTAATAAAAGGTAAAATGTACTAATTTGTGGTTTTTTGTTGTCAAAAAATTAGTTTGGGATAAACTTATCACATGTGTCCAGTTTAGGATTTTTCGTGATATTAACCCTAAAAGTTAATCCGTACATTGCCATCATCCTACAACAACATCGACCGTTTCTTGTCCCATTAGACAAGGTTGGCAACACAGAATCTTCCCATGTCATTTTGTAAGATCTAAATGACCAGCATGTCATAAGATGTGAAGTACAATGTTTTGAGAGATGACTCCGATGCCTAAAACTCTAAAACCAAAAGAAAGAAAGAAGTACCAGGCCAGAATAAATGCTTCCACCACCAACCGTATATTCTACCGGCCTCATAGTAAACAAAATAATCTATCGACAAACCGAAAGGTTGCATCCCTTTTTTTATCAAATGAAGCCTCAGAACCAGCGTGCTTCTCGCCAAGATTCATCAAGAATAATTGTCGACACTAAGTTTTCGCGGCAATCAAAATGAGATGGGTTACTCGAGCTTTCCAGATCGACAATTTGTGTTCGAAAAAGATGAAAACAAGAAAATTCTTTTTTGGTTAAAGCATACACCACATAAATAGCCGGACGTTCATATACATGGTATGGTACAACAGGCTGCGCAACAGCCAGAAACAACAGAGAGAGAGAGAGAGAGAGAGAGAGAGAGAGAGAGAGAGAGAGAGAGAGAGAGAGAGAGGTTCTACATTATTAGAAGTAGATGTAGTATTATGTGCCTAATCCATCTATCCAATGTGTTACAGCCAGTCAACTTCATTTCAAGTAGAAAAAAGTTGCGGCAGTAGACGGTCTATGCTCCTGGAGAAAGAAGTACTGATATTTCTCCTGCCGTCGTGATTATCTGCACAGTCTATTCTCATCATGGGTAACTGCAAAAACAAAAGGACAAGTAGATTAGAGGATGAATACATATCTATCATCCTTAGTTGAGTTGAGTACTTCAAGAACCAAATTCTTAAAGACAATGGAAAGAAGAAAAAGGCTTATGGGATGTGCCGAGGTCCTTCTGTTGCGTGTATCATTTCAATATTGACAATGACAAACACCCAAATGATCAACCAAACGAACCAAATGAGGCATGCAAGAAAATGACGCTGCAAGAACAATCATAGAAGTATGAACCTAATATATGGAGCTCAAAGATTGCGTAAATCAGAATCGAGAGACAGTGTTAGCTAAATGCCCCAGAGTCATTCACCAAGATGTCACGCAACTTCAGATAAAGAAAACAACATGAAGGCCATGAAGAAGCTTAACCAAGAAACTTGAAATAGATATTATGGAATCACCTCTCTACAAAGCCATTTCTGCCTGCAAGGCAGCGAGCTCATCATCCTCAGGCGTGTTCTTCACTGGACGAGGATGTGACGGCTGCTTGACTGCAGGAGCATGCACTGGAGCAGGAGGAGCAGACGTGGTTGGCTCGAGAAGCTCGTCCTCCAGCTCAGCCCCTTCCAATTCTTCGAGCTCCGCTTCCAGTTCATCCTGATATAGCGGTCAGAATTTACTTTAGCCACCAATATTCTATCAAGAAGTTGTTTAAAAATAAGTTGTGTGACTTTTAGAATTGCTACTTCATCAAAATCAGCTGCTGCACCGATCGGCGTCGACAAGGCCTCCTGAATCTGTTTCATGTTTTCAGTCTGCTCGTTGACCTCGTCCATTGTTCTATCCAAGTCTTCGATGTTCCTGATATATAAAAGGAACCTTAGAAAAACATTTCATGCAATGAGAGCATAGAAGCAGCATCTACACATTAATGCACTCATTCTTAAGATAAATGTTAAGGCTTGCGAAGGATCGAGAGAAGAAAAGGACACTCCTTGTGTTAAAAAAAGACAAAAAGGGCCTGATTATAGTACAAAGTACCTTAAATAAAAAAACTCTCTTTAGTGTCTCCCATCAGTTCATTTCATGTGATCGCTTTCACAGGGTTTACCATCAGTCCATTTCATCATTTTTTCCTATACTTTTCGAACTGACTGTGTAGTAGATCCATAAGTAATTCAATATTAAGGGAAAAACACTTAAAATGGATTTCATCTAACCAATTACTAAATAGAGTCGCAATCAGATTTTTTACTATACTGGCATAAACAAAAGCAGATTTGTTACTTTTAATATGGTAAAATCTACCACGCAAAACAACATACAGAAGTCCAGACACAGAATCTCCATTTTTTTTCCACTAATAGATATAGTAGAAAATGGTACATACGTTGCCTTGTGAATAGCCTTCATGGTAGCAGCTCCGCTTCGCAATGCATCAACAGTCTCTGTTGTGGCTTTGGCACCTTCTAACATTATCATCTAACATTTTTAAAATGGAGCCACGGTTTCAGATTTTAGGTGTTTCCATTATAAGCATAGAGACAGAGCATCCAAGTGGAAGGAAAATGGCTAAACAGCAAGCGTACCTGATCATGTAGGCGCAACTGATAACTTCCTAGTTGTTCGATTTGCGTTTCGTACATCTTTTTCTTCTTCAAACATTGAATAGCAGCTGCCAAATAACACCAATTTGTATATTTACCGAGTGATTTAAGCACAAATGAGTTTCCAATCTACATCTCCACAATCGGGTGATTATTAGCAAGAATCCGAGACCAATTGGAGTTACCATGTCAGAACTAACGGAGAACATGCTATCTAGAGCATCTCGTGACTTCATAATTGTTTGGCGCTACTGAAGCTAATTATTGTCCGGAGGAGGACATTTAACTATGATAAGAATCAATGTCCCGGTTTAAACTTTATAACTGTACAGCACAACCACCAAATTTCCGGATACCAACGGCACAAACAAAAAGAGAGAATTTTTTTCACAGGACAAGTCAACTGATTTGGGTTTCAGCATCAGACAATCCCCAGCTACAGTGTCATTATCCAAAATATCACATTTGAGCACATCGCATGACTAGGGTTAAGTTATTTTAAGAGTGATCGAGAACAACTCTGTGTTATCACTATCAATATTGGCTTTCCATTACATGACAAGACAATTATTAAAACATTTCGAATTCCCGTTGTTGATGATCCAAAATGAAGAACAACAGAAGCAAGTGGAGGTGATACCATTCTTTTTCTTTGCCTTGGTATACGCCTTGGCCTTTTCAACCTCCGCAGCGGCCTTTTTCGCGAGGAAGTTCTCCTTCTTCTCCAGCATCTCGAGCGTCTACAATGACACGTGGCAGAGGTAACGATCTGAAGAAGCTCTCCGGCAAATTTCGGCACAATTTCCGAGTTAATTAAACGGGTACAACATGTTGTACATGGGATCAAGACAAAAGCAGTTTTGCATCTGTTTCGGAGCTTGACAGATGATTTTTATCACTTCGTAAATTGAAGAACCGAGTATCACATGCCTAGCAAGTAAAAAAAATGAAAGAACAGATTGTTGGCTCCACAAGGAGCTCTCTCAACTGCATCTGATCTACTGCATCTTTAACTTCACCCAGATAACCAGATATAAATGGAAATTTGCAATCACATAAACAAATAAATTCCATAAATTAAAATAATCTAGCCGATGACAAAATACATGTAGTGATGCTAATCCCTCCAACAAACCAGAATTAGGATGACCTCAAGTTGAACATATCAGCAACATCAACCAATAAATTGGTCAATAAACCAAATCATCCAACGACTATTGACATGATGACCCTCCAGAAAATCTATGGTCCTTTGAACACCGCCAATGAGAAAATGGAAAATCAAAATAAAAAGAAAAGGAACAAAGAATAACATCATAAGCAACCAAATTGCTTTACAAAAATAAACAGAGAGAGACGATCAGAATCCCACCTCGCTCAATTTATCTATCGTCGTTCTGGCGCTGACAGCACCGTCCTTCTTCTTCGTAAACATTTTCTGGAACATGATTGAAACTCCTCTCCGTCAAGACAAGAACTTTGTTCTTCCCCGAGCTCAAGAAAGCTTGCCGGATTCAAGAAACACTGCGGCACACGATGAAGGGGTATCGAATCAAATGGGTCGGAGTAATTTTCCGGGAATACCCGAAACCGAGAACATGCGGACCTTTGAATCGTGGAAAGCTCGCGTTCTTGGGTCGGCAGGTGAAGCTTCCAAGAAACCCCTGAAACGCGAAAGAGGGAGAGGTGACTTTTGTAGACTTTAATAGCTGCTTCGCGGAGAAGATGACTCGTGGGTGCTCCTCGCGAAATGTCAGCATCGGTGACGCAGAAAAGGGTCGTTTTTGGGAGACCAAACCATGTCGTTTTTATGGTTCTTTCGATCAAAGTTTTCTTTTTTAATCTCCATTACGTCTGGCGAGCGAAAAAGCACCAAACTTTTATAAATCCGTCGAGTTCCCAATACACATACGAGACTATAGATATTTTAAGTTCTCATTGATTCGAGTTACAGATAAAATCGGTTCAAATTAAGAAATAAAATTAGCGTAACAGGACAAGCTTTCTTACTATTTATTACGGTAACCCTTTAAAAAATCACTATCGTTGATAGACAATGATTATAATAACAGCAACAGTAGTACGACACGCATAGTCTCTAATATGTGACCCAAAAGATTAAATTTCCTAAAAATGGCATTTTATACCTAATAGTTCTTGAGATTTGAGGAATTTCTAATTTCTAATTTTTTTATATATTTATGACACGTACTTTGTTATAGCTTGCTCATATTGACATTCCTAATCTCAATGAAGATTAATGGATAAGCATGTATTTTGTGATGCTAAATTGAGCTCTCCCGTTCCCTTTCCTTAGTAGGTGAACTGGGCTGGGCTTTGTTAAGGCCGCAGGGCCCAGAAAGATAAGGAGAAGATATGGTCGGATGGAGGGTAAAGTGCAAATGGGCTTCATTCGATCTTTGTCACCTTAAGGATTGGATTCATCTGACGTGCAAAACCAATTTTCTCCAACACCCTTTAGAGTATTTTGTCGTTATTATTCTTTGGGAAAATACCACAAAAAACTATAAACTATGTTACTTGTGACAAATTTGCTCTGAATTTTTTTTTGTGGCACGAAAAACCTCAAACTATGCTACTTGTGACACATTTACCCAACAATACTTTGGTCCAAGGACATTTTTGTCTTTTTCCTTTTTCTGTTTTTTTCCTTTTTTTTTTCTTTCTTCTCTCTTTCCTCCGGTGGCCATGGCGGAGGAAAGCCGGCGAGGGTGCCCCTCGTTGACGTTGGGGTTGGGCGAGGGCTGCCCTCACCAAATCTGGCGAGGGCAACCCTCGTCGGCGTCGGTCGAGAGTCGCCCTTGCCCGACTCAAACGACCCTTGCCTAGGCGGGCGAGGGTAGCCCTCGCCCAACCCCAACGTCGGTGAGGACCGCCCTCGCCGGCTTCCCTCCGCCATGGCCGGCGGAGGGAAGAGAGAATAAAGGAAAAAAAAACATAAAAAAAAGAAAAGACGAAAATACCTTTGGGCCAAAGTATTGTGGAGTAAATATGTCACAAGTGACATAGTTTTGGATTTTTCGTATCACAAAAAAAAATTCAGCGTAAATTTATTATAAGTGACATAGTTTTGGATTTATTGTGGTATTTTTCCTTATTCTTTTACAGGAAAATAACATTATTATTCTCATATTCCCCTTTTTTTTCCCTTTTGCCAGTTTTCATATCCAGTGTTTAAGGATCTAAGCATGTGTGAGGCGCCACAATCTTCAACATCGTCCGTCGTTTGTTTTCATCGATAGGGGACAAACGTGCCCGTGGTTTTTCCCTTAAAGTTCGAATTTTTTTGAGGAGTCGAGATCAAAAAGGGAGCCAAAAAGGGCAACTTTTTTTATGTTTTTTGGTACGTGGGTGCTCTTCAAGCTGTCCTCCATGTCGAGGGAGAGAAAGTGGACCGGCACGTGGCGGCCAACCTCGGCCGTCCATTGGGGCTCAGAAGTCTTGGGAGGAGGACGATTGGCGGAAGGTCGGATTGAGGGCGACTTCGAGTCGGTCAAGGAGCTGCTTTTTCAGCGATGCTAAACGAACCACGCAGTTCACAATGGATCTCTCCCTTTCTATCTGCAACCACAGCCGGAGAACAGGGAGATTTAAGACGAGAGAAAAGGGGTAAGTGGGGACAGGACAGGCTTTTCGAGAGGTCAAGAAACCAGACAGGTGGACGTGGCTCAATTGAGCGCCACCCTCTTCACCACCATGCACATCAGGAGAGAGAGAGAGACCATGGATGGATGTGTTGACAGAACTCTTATCCCGCGGCATGGTTAGGGTTTGTTTGATTGATGCCATGGATCTCTTCTCGGATGACCAGAGCTGAAACGTTCTTCTTCTTGGAATTGTGCAAGTATTCTCGTAGATGTCTTAAGCATTTGGACTGTTCATTCGTGTAAATAAGACATGTATTAAGACGGATTGAAACATCGACAAAGGTACCAGGTGATGAATGAAAGACCGGCATCTTTGATTTCATTTCTCATCTTGATCTCTCCCCCTTCTTTGTCCATGTATCGTGTATGCCCCGAGGCAAGATGGAGTGGGAAGGGGGCTTCCGACTCTGATTGTTGAGCAACTATTTTGACGGAACGTCGTAAACGGCAAGTGTAGATTGCATTTTGTTTTGTTGGGTAGCGTGGATGTGTGGGCAAATACCTCTTTGCTTATTCTAATCCAACGAGGCATCCTCCTTATGATAATCATAAATAAGGACTTTATGTACGGACCCCAATTAGGTCAACTCAATCTTTAAGATACGAAAAATAAAAAATAAAAATCAATCTTAGTCTCATCTAATAAGTAATCATTGGATCAAACACGTTATAAAAGCTTCTTTAGCCATAAGTGACAAAGAGCAAAATTAAGCCTTCACGAAACGGCTTACTTATCTGGAGAATAAAATTCACATCCTCCTCGACACAGCTCTCGGGAAATTTGGCCAGTGGAGGGAGCAGTTTCTCGAAGATCCTCTGCTCTTCACGGGTGTTGCGGTGCGCGAAAAACTGATCCGGGCTGCTAATCATGACGGTATACTGTTACCAGCATGATCGTTAGCCTTGACAAGAAAAAAACTAGGTTTTCAAACATTGGACAAAGCAAAGCCTGACCTTAGGCAAGTGAGCCACGTCATCATATTTAATATCAAAAGGCACCTTCGAGTCCCTATCCAAATGGGTCCCACCCCTGCCTGCACTTTTTGTGTCCCTTTTCCCCTCTCCCTCTCCCTCTCTCTCTCTCCTCAGGACGATTGAGAATCGGTGTTCATCCTTTTCATCTGTGGCGAATACCTAATTCAACCTCAAACCCGTTTTCTTTTCACATTCCCCCTCTTTGCTTTTCCCCTCCCCCCACCCTTCGAATCTGTTCCCTCACTCGTCTTCTCTGTGCGGGCGCGCGCGCGCACATCAGCCTTGCTCCTGTTCAGGTGGTATCTTCTTGGTTATGATATCTGTGCCTGCGGGAAACGTGTGGTCCGTCCTAACCCACCGCATAGAGCCGTTCTTGGCTTCTGGGTCTGGTCGCGTCAGGGCTCTGCATGCGTGCGTTGATGCTGGAGAGCTAAGGTGAGTTCGAAGGATCTTGTGGGGGGGGGGGGGGGGGGGAGAAGAGATCTTCTGCTATCTGAGTTTGTCTGGGTCTGAGTCTTGATTTAGTGGGTTTGTGGTGTCTGATGCTTTTCATGTTCAGATACGGGCCTGTGGTCGAAGTAATACCGGACTCGGACGCCCGGATTGGGTAGCCTTCTGCTTCTGCAAGAAAGGTGGAGTTTTTCCATGGAGTCAGTTATCATCTCCGGTCTCTGTTAGGACAAGGGAGTTGGTAATTTCATTCAGCTGAAGCGGCGCGAGATTAGGTCGGTCGTCGCGGTATTGGTTGGTTTCGGGGGTATTGTTTCACGGGTTATGTTGGTGAAAATCTTGGAAATTAGAAGCTCTTGTGGTTAGAGAAAGCAAGAATGAAGAGAGGGAAAGATGATGAGAAGATCATGGGGCCCATGTTCCCGAGGTTACATGTGAATGATACAGAGAAAGGAGGGCCAAGAGCGCCCCCGAGGAACAAGATGGCCCTTTATGAGCAGCTCAGCATACCTTCTCAAAGGTTCAGTTCGGGGATGTTGCCTCTCAATACCAATAATAGCAGTAATTTGGTTCCGCCAGCATCTTCAAACCAGGTAAATGATATGATTGGTAGTTCTTCCTTCTTATACTGCGTGTTTGCTTTAAATTCACTACGTTTTTAAGTCATGTCCATGTAAGAACCTGCATGATCTTTACCCTGAAGTTATTGTTTTCTGGGTAGGAAAGTTTTTCAAGAAGTTGCCAGCTGTTGATTTTTCTTTGTGAATAGTTGCTTTAGATATTGTTGAATTTGGTGATACACCGTTGTTTGCACAAGTGGTTGATCTGTGGTGTTGGGAAATCCGTTAATGGATTGGAACAAGTGATGATGATTGGTGGTCTTCTGGGATTTTAGTTTGTGGTGTCAAAAGCGATTCATTTATTATCAGAACATTTATCTGGTAAACTCTGCTCTTTAGGTGTTTCCTTCTCTGGTGACCTTAGGTATTGGTATGTGTTTTGTTTTTTATGTTAATGAATCGAACTGCTCCGTGTGCAAGAAAATGCTAATTGGGATGAGTTTTGTCATTGTGGAACAAGTTGATATGGGAGCACCATATTAATTACAAATCACTGAGACAACCATTCAATTTCAGGGGAGTGGATCCGGCCGGAACGTGTACTTCCCAATGCACTTACCTCCTTCAACTCCAACTCATCTTTCCGAGAGATTGAATGCTGACAAGTCGGGTGGGGCTAGTCCAGCTAATCCACTGGTACGAGTGGAACAGAGAAAAAATGCAGGCGATGGAGATGATTTTATGGTTCCCGTATATGTTAAGTCAGGAACGGGTCAAGGTAATAACAAGAACAGTAAGGCTAGGGATAATGCTCCAAATTATACAGAGAAGATGCACAGCTCCCGCAGTGATGATCCAAAAAGATCTAGCTCAGTAGGTCTTACTTCAAGACAAGAGTTAAACTTAGACGGTTCTGTAAGATCCTATAGGAACGTATCCACTGCAGAGAATGGTCTTAGATCATTGAAGGAAGCTGACGCATCTCGAAATCCAGTTCTAGCAAGTTTTAGCACGTCCCGTGGTACAGATGCACAACTACGGCAAGGGAATGGAGATGGGCCACAATCAGAAGAGCATGCACAAGATTTCGAAAGTGACGAAACTTCGAGAGACATCGAGAAGGGAATATCTTCATGGCCAAGCCGTGATCTTCGTTTGGGAGAAACCCAAAGAAGTCCACCTGAGCCTAACAGCTTTGGTAAGGAAAACTTAAATGAGACATGTGGCACATTGCTCATGGTTGACGCTGGCAGAAATGACGATGCATCCGAAGTCTCCATTGCAGATTCAGCGTCGGGCTTGGATATCTCTCCTGATGATGTTGTGGGGATTATAGGTCAAAAACATTTCTGGAAGGCCAGAAGAGCAATTGTCAAGTAAGTGCCTGTCTACTTACCCTTGGAAGGTTCACCTTGCTTTAAAATCTGAGGTTCTTATTGGCTTACTCTCAATTTTATGTGATTTTGTTCTTGCATGTAAACAAGAACTCCTAAGTATTCTTGTTAAATTGCCCGCTTTGGTTATGAAAGTTGAGTGATCAGAACTTGTAATGTTTAGGCTAACTGCAAAAGGTCAAATTTTAAGGACATTGGATACAATTCTCCCATAATTTTATTAGAATATATAGTGTATATTTGATACTTTTTGGTCATTATCGCGTGATCGCTTCTTTTCTTAGTAGTTTTGATAATGAGCCTTACAGTCTAAGACTACTCAATTGGTCGGTCGTCCAGTCTTTTTAAATCTTCAGATGAAAACTATTCTCGGAAAACATGTTCTAGCACGTTGTGTCCGTTCTGCAAATGTTAAGGGAGAAATAGTTTGTTCTTTTGTTCAGACTTATCTCAACCATATGAGTGTTCCCTTTTTCGGGTTAAACTAAAAAATATGACTTGATTTTCGGTTGAAACTATGGGTTTGTACATTTCAATGATTAAGGCATATTTGAACTTTATGTGTTCTCCTTTTGTTTCGACATTTGCTTTTGCTCTTAGTGTTCATGTGTTAAATGGGAAGGGACGTGCTGTAGCAGTGTCACCTTCATATGTAGTATTTCGATACCAAAATTTTTCTTTGAATTTAAACGTGAGAGCGTTAATTGATTTCAGTCAGAAAAGTGTAGTTCATAGATTTATAGTTGAGGAGAGTAACTAACAGTGTGGAGTCCCAGGGTCCCTCTGAGGTGGTATTTCTTGTATTTAGCGGTGTATCATTTGAGACCAGGTAGGTGGACTGTCCTATTTGGAGAATTTTTGTAAGGTGACCCTGAGAATGGCGGATGATCTCTCGTTCATTGTGCCTTTGCATTTTCTCTCTAGAATTATATCTGTCTCCATTTTTTTTCTTGGTCTTACCTGCCACATCGTGAGCATTCCCTAATAATGAGGGCATGGTGCGGCAGGGGACATGGCGGAGGGTAGTGCAGTGATATATCTGGGGCCATTTCCGAGGGGTGAAAATGATATCTAGCTTGATCTTGGTGGATATGGTGACCAAAAGGATCTTATGTCATGTTGCACCTTGGTATCTGTGTTATCAGATATGGGTGCACCAGTCTGCATAGACACAATGTCTAGGTATAATGTTGCTGTAGTGTATGTAAATGCTAACTCTTATGTTTTTGTTGTACCTTTTCATAGAATTGTTTTCTGATTTTAGCAAATATATCGGCTGTAGTTGTGCACGGTACTCAATGTAATGGTAGTTTATGTTGTGATAAAAAAAGAAAGGAAGAAAATTAGGCGAGAGGGTATGGAGATATCAAGGCAATGTTTGAATTACTTATGCTTTGAGTGCCTGTTCTGTCATTCTTAGTACTGGCTAGATATTGGATGAGTTTAGTTGGATGCTTAATGCCTTGCAATGTTTAGAACTCCTCGTGGGGAGTTATAGCAGATATTGGGTAGACCGTTGCTCATCCAGATCTATGCTATTCACCATCTGATTTGATTGGAGTATTTGCCGGTCTTTTTGTATGCCTAAGTCCATGAATTTGCTATTGTCTCTGTTTTGACATAACTCCCTGTTACTCATTTCAGTCAACAGAGAGTGTTTGCAGTTCAAGTCTTTGAGTTGCATAGATTGATAAAGGTACGCTGGATGTCGCTCTTCAATGAGATTATTTGGCGAAGTCTAGTAGTAACATATCTTTGTGCATTTGCAGGTGCAGAAGTTGATCGCTGGGTCACCACATCTTCTGATTGAGGATGCTTCTGGCTTAAGCAAAACTTCTTTAGTCAACTCTCTTGGGAAGAAATTTTGCGAGGATCATAATGGTAGATATCTGTCACAAACTACAAAGCACAAAGAGGAGCCCGAGAAACCTGGCCACCAAATGGAGTGTTCTGCAGAGAATGCAGTCGGGAAGACGTCGATTTCTTCTGTCAAAAGTGCCAATCAGCTTTCGGATTATGGGCCTGGTATGAGAAACCCACCTCTGGCACCCGTTGTGCCTGATATGAAAATGAGCCCGTGGGATTACTCTCAGTCATCAGGGCACCAATGGTTGATCCCTGTCATGTCTCCTTCGGAGGGGCTCGTTTACAAGCCCTATCCTGTCCCTGGATTTACGGGAACAGCTTGTGGAGGATGTGGGCCATACAACCCTTCTCCATTGATGGCGAACATCCCAAACCCTGCTTATGGAGTTCCCTTGCATCACCATCACCAAGGATTTGGGTTCCCTTCGGGCGTTCCTCCACCAGGCCAAAGTTATTTCCCCACGTGCGGTATGCCCGTCATGAGCTTCAATGCTTCAGGTTCATCTGTAGAACAAACGAACTGGTTTTCTGGACCTGTCCAATACGGTCAAACGGGCCAATTATCCGGAGGGGAAGTTGACAATATGCAACATCGAAATTCATCTAACATACCTAAGAAGAGAAAAGGATTAGTTGCTCAGATCAAATTCCAAGCCAATAAAGACAGTGAGTTGCAGGTGAGCACGGCGAGCAGTCCTAGCGAGAAACCACCAGAGGGACTTGGAAATGTCCAATCCTCGGAGGGGAAAGAAGCACTCCCGCTTTTTCCAGTTGCTCCAGTGATTTCTGAAGGGGGATCTCAGCCTCGCGAGGCGGACCAGCCAACAAGGGTTATTAGAAGTGTGCCTCACAACGCTAGATCTGCAACGGAGTCTGTGGCTCGAATATTCAGGTCTATACAAGAAGAGAGGAAACAGTTTGACTCCATTTAGGGGATCGGCTAACTATGCTCGTCTCTCATAAAGTCATAAACTCATACTCATTTGAGTTCTGGAGCGTGAGAGTTTCTGTATTTGTGTTCTATTTATCTTTTGGTCCTTATAGATTGGTCTGTAAATTAGGTAAATCCTATGTGGTTCAGACCAGATTACATGTGTCATCACGATGTTAGTCGCTAAAGGTCTTTCGATAAGGGCAAGGTAAATTTTGTTCCAGTAAATTGGTGCCTATATAACGGTACAATGTAACTTCCGATCTTAGAGCCAACTTGTGTTTTGCCTGTTGTGTCAGTAATTTCATCGCTGTCTTTATCAAGGGAGTTGAGCTTGTGACTATTGGGTGCCGTGAATTCGCTCGGTATGACTGCACGCGATGGCGCGAGGATGGATCGATTTCGGCATATCGTTGCTTGGTGCCCATAAATAAATCTCTCGACTTTTGAGCAGTTCGCTGTTATGGACGCATTAGTGATGCTTGTCGAGGGAACTTTGGATTAATAGGGCTCGTTTGGTTCGACTTTGGAGAAATGCATTTGGGGGAATGCAAATACCTTCGGGCTAAAAGGGTTTTCCGAAATGCAAGTAGTGTTTGGTAAGTGTTTTTTAAAATCAACTTGAGCTAAAGGACTTTTGCTAATATATATATTTTTTTAAAAACTCCAGTGGAGCTAAACCGGCGGCCACCGCCGCCGGCCAGATCTGGTCGCCGGCCACCACCGCCTGGGGTCGCCGGACCTCGGGCATCGCCTGGGTCGCGCGACCCCAGGCGACGGTCGCCGGGGTCGCGTGATCCCTAGGCGGTGGTCGCCGGGGTCAGGCTAGTCCTCAAGCGGCGGTCGCCAGCCGCCGGACCTCGGTCTGGGGAAGATGAATAGTATCGATGAACAGTGCAAGTTGCATTCCGAAAATACAACTTCCCTAAAGCACCTCCGGTGGAGCATTGGCCAAGGGTCCCTTAAGGAGCATCCATATGCAATTGCATCTCCCCAAAGTGAGTAAAAAAAATTGGCAAACACCATTTGCATTTGGCCAAGGGACTTTAGAACCCAAATGAGCATTTCAAATGCTGAACCAAACGAGCCATAGTATTTGTCATCTCTAGGGATTCATAATGGCAAAAGCTATTTCACTTTCTACTGACGGGAGTTCAAAAGCTTGTGACCACAAATGAAATTCTCTGAAAGGAAATTTTGTCTGCAATACTTTGCATTGACATTCGCATATCACTCATGGGCAGAAATGATTTTGGCCCGGCCCGCCGAAGTAGAACACAGGCTCGCCAATATACCCATCTCTATGGTTCTGTCCATTGTAGCAATACACTTGATCGTTATAAACCCCGACCCATTCAGGGTACTTGAGTGAAAGTGAGAAGTCCATGATCCTAACATGGTTGATGTAGCAGGCACGGCCATGGAGTGCCTCTGAGTACGCCCCGCTTCCCATGGCAGTTCTGGTGTGAGGAGTCTTCTTCACCATCGTGCTGTACACTTGACCTCCCCAATTGACCATTATGGCGCTGCGCTTCAAGTAGGAGAAAAGGGATGCCGGGAAATACCCGAGGACCAGGTTGTTCGTGAGGCGTAGCCACCAGTTGGAAGTATTCGGATCCTGGTTCAATGACAACCACCTCTGCTCAGAAATACTATTTAAGAGAACGAACAACTTTTTAAGTTAGACCTGAATTAATGGGCGAACTCGATTTGAATGAAATTGTATAATGGGTGGAGTGGTTAAATCGGGATTGACATAGAGGCTAATCGTGACTTGTCAACTATTTCCCCACTCAGCTTTGTTGGGGTCATGCTCAAAGGGCAAATCATTGTCCAAGCACACGTGGAAACCTTCGGGCAGTTGAATGTCAAACTAGCCCGCTCAAACAAGAGATTTGCCGATCAGGTCTACTGTAAGTAGAGAAGGCAAAGAAGATTGAGAATGTAAGTACCAGGAAGAGGCCGACTGATATCTGATATTGTGCCGCTTCAGAAGATATCGGACCCAGAGCAGAGCCGAGGGCCACCTCGGAACTAGTTTGAACGAACCCAGAACATGTCAAATCGAAGCAGCCTGTGGAAACGCTTGCATCAACCTGAGTAATAAAAGAAATGGAAGATAGGACAATCGGTTAAATGGTTCAACTTTGCCCAGAAGAAATAATCTATCGGGATGGTAGAGTACTCACGGTCCAATGTGTGAAAAGCCGAGTTTGCTTATCTCCATATAACTTTGGGTTCACCTGGGAATATGAAAATCTTTTTGAGCCATCTCAATAGATAACCAAAAACAAACAGGATATAAGTAAAGGAGACCTAGATTAAAATTGAAAGACAGACCATCCATCCTGCTTCAACGCTTTCGTACTTATCGCCGGGGCCGCCGAGAAGCCATATCTGGGCCGTAGTGAAGTCATCTGGCAAATCAACACTCGGATTCCATAAATTTATATCACCCGAAGCTCCTATGTAGTTGTATCCTACTGTCAAAAGGATTGCTTGCTGCCCAAGAAACATAGTGAAATGGTATTACTAGATACTGAACATATGAGGGAACAAGTTTCTATTAGCAAGTGAACAAGGGGCGTTGAGTTCAGTTGAACGAATGCTTACATCACGATCTTTTGTATAAGGAAGAGAGACTTTGGTTCCATTTATGACCACTTTTCGACCAATTTCATCGAGGGTTGAATTAGCCACGTGGTCCTGTGAATGAGGATGATACATTTTCCCAAATTGGTTGGGACTAGAAGCTCTCAACAAGTCTTGCCGCCGGATTCGTCGGATGGGAATAGTTCCCTCGGGACAACTTCCACTCTTTTGCCAAGTCTGAGATATTATTGGTGTTGAGGACTCCTTTTTTGTTGCTCTGTCTTCTGAAGGCAATTTAATGCTGGGTTTCGTCTGCATTTGAAGGAAGAATAGTAAAAGAGGATTCCAGGAAATATCGCCCAAAAAGAAGAAAGAAAATATCAAGCTGCTTTCAATAAATAAGATCAAAACGTGCTCGAGTTCTCAAGAGTAGCCGGTTCAATTCAAATAAAAGCTATTTAGAACTTATTAGCCTCGAAAATTGTTGTGATCGAATTGTCAATTGTAAGTAAGAGAGCTAAGGTTAGGAAACAGACCTGAATGACATGGTTCTTCAATGTGGGATGGTCAAAGGCTGGTTGTTTGTGCATGTCAACACAGTCGATGATATCTCCATCTGCACTCTATCAATCAAACAAAAATTGGACATGAGTCTGAAACTTAATTTATTGGCAGTGAACAAGCTTTCATTATTATGACCATTATGTAGCTAACAAACAAATGCGTGTGTGTGAGAGAGAGCAACTTTTCTGAAAGAACTTAAATTACTACTCCTCTGCTTATCTGCTCGAGCCAAAGGATGAGTACCGTAGATTTGAGTTCAGCAAAAAGATGAGTGCATGATTGAAGTACGGTGCAAAAAAAAATACTGGGGATATGGAAGAAAAATTTAACATTTCTTGGATGGTGATTTGTGGGGATCCAAAATATGGCATTACTTTCTGGCCAAAATTGAAAAGAAAAAACGAAAACAGAGCAAAAAATGCATATCACATATTCATATCATTAGTTCTATTGGGTGGTGAAATTCTATATGGAATACAACAAAATTGTGCTGGCTCTTATGGCACGTGTGCAGTAGAACTCCAAAAATGTTCACTTTTTCCTGAAATGGCTCAGGAAAAACACGGGTTTTGTACCAAAAGCAAATGTTCCATAAGGGTTGTGGAACTGAGATTCATAACATTGTTATCAGAAGAGACACCATATATGACCAAATGATTGAAATCTTATGAGATATTGTGTAAGTTGATGCGAAATAGTCGAAATCCAGCCCCGAACAAAAGAAGTCTTTCTCGGGCCAAGAAATCACAAAAAGGGTGGAAAAAGCTGGCGTCTCCTATTTGATGTAATTCTCACTGATTGGTTCTTCAAACCAAGAATGAGCATCAGCAGGAAGCCTATTCAAGAGGAGATGAAGGCAATAAGATACCTGAATGTTCTTCACTGCAGGCTTATTAAGAAGCCTGAGTCTCCTATCAATATCATCATCGTCCTCTGAAGCCTCTCTGTTCACTGATGTTCTTGATACACTATCAGCTAATGTGGCCCAACACATTGTCATAGCCAAGAAAAGCATAAATCCCACTTTCTCCATTGTTCCTTCTGCTTCTCAGCATTAAAATGACTGAAGGGGAAGGGATATAAATGGATCGAAATAACACATAAAAGGGAATATTCGATACCAAATCTATGTTTACCCAAGCAAGCCAACAATAATGCAAGATCCCAATTTGGGACTGTAAGGGCGCAAATGGTAACCATTTTGCTCCAGAAATTAAATTCTTACCAGAAATTGATTTCTGAAATTCTTGCAAGAAATTAATTTCTAGAGGAGAAATCTGTTTGATAAAACATGACTAATTCTGCTCCAAAAATTGAATTCTGGAACAGAAATCTGTTTTGATTTGTTGATTTTTTTTGCACCTAAAAAAATTTAAATTTCACTCAAAGTGGGTGGCCACAGGTATTCTAAGTGATTCTGTGAAGTTTTAAAATATTTTATTTTTTGATTTTTTTTGGACACCTCAAAAAATTTAAATTTCAATTAAAGTGGGTGGCCAAAGGTATTCTAAGCCATTTTGTGAAATTTTGAAATTTTTGATTTTTTTGGGCACCTCAAAAAAATTAAATTTCACTCAAAATGGATGGCCACATGTATTCTTAAGCCATTCTGTGAAGTTTTGAAATTTTTAATTTTTTTTGGACACATTAAAAAATTTAAATTTCACTCAAAGTGGGTGGCCACAAGTATTCTAAGTCATTCTGTGAAGTTTTAAAATTTTTGATTTTTTTATTCTTTTGGATACCTAAAAAAATTTAAATTTCACTCAATGGTGGCTTTTAAGCCATTATGTGAAGTTTCAAAAAATTTTATTTTTTTTATATTTTTTGAAAAAAATTCACCAAATTTCCTATTTTCCCAAAATTTGACTTTTTTTTATTTTCTGGAAATTTTTATGAATTTTTCTGGAATTTTTCAATTTTTATGCATTTTCTGAAAAACAAATTAGTGAGATCTCAAAATGTGTTGTAAAGGCCACGAAAAAGAGACCAAAGAGGGAGAATGCATTCTGGAAGAGAGAAGCTACAAAAAGTAGCTTCTCTTTTTCTTGCCCAAAACTCATTCTGGAATCAAGTATTTTTAACAAACGCATTTTTATTCCAAAATGCAAAAAATGCTCCGGAATGCATTCCGGAAATTTTTTAACAAAATGCAAAAATTGCTCCAAAATTGCTCCAGAATGCATTCTGGATCAGAAATTCTGCTCTAGAATGGATTCCATACGCGCCCTAATTAATCACTTGTCATATTTGCTTGGGTTAAAACAGAAAGTACACATCTGCCAACAAAAAGCAAAAAATAGAACGAAAAGACATCAATACACAGATCAATTTGTTTCATGCGAATTAAGATAATATTGACTGAACTATGACCACTTCAGTTAACATCAACATAGAAAAAAAAGTCAACCTTCATGACTTTTCTGCCAGATGCCATTGTGTTCTTTACAGATTGCAGCAATGCACAAGAAACTGACCGAAAATGATTTGCACTACAAGAAAAGTGTCCGAGTGTGCTGATTAAGAGCATGAATTTTCTCTTAGCAGAAGAAGATAAGGGATCTGAAGTATGATTTGAATATGGAAACTGCCGGTACATATAACCTCATAAACGGCCTTGTGATTATGGTATAAAATTCACAAGATTAATTTTTTGGACAAATGGGGCTTCACCCATACAAGTTTGTTACTGTATTCTGGCATGGACTTCATGCTCAACTTGATGAGCGAGCTTGGGCCAGCTCCAGAGAATACAAGCATGAACATGCCTCCAGGTTTAGTTCAGCCCGCCAATCGATCATGTCTTAAATTTCAAGACATGTAAGGCTTCAAATTGGTGAAAATAAACGGGAAAATAAATGTTCCTATTTCTTTAAAACCCTGCTCATAACATCTGCTATATGAGGATAAGGCTGAAAGACAAGAAACTAGCAGCTGCGGTGTCTAATCAGGGGCACAACTCATTCCTTCTAGGACCTCCATAAAAAAATAAATGTTCCTTGCCAAAAGCAGCACCAGATTTGGCGTAAAACCCACTTGATTGCCTCACCTCCCTCTCTCTCTCTCTCTCTCTCTCTCTCTCTCTCTCTCTCTCTCTCTCTCTCTCTCTGAGCTTAGCTTGGATCCTAAGTATGATTCATATCCCTCCTTGGCTTTTCAAATCATCTTAAACCGGTTCTTGATCTTTCTTGTTTTCGCAGCTCTTAGGACAACCCCAAGAACAGCGCATAAATCCCCATCCGAACCTCTCTTATTCACCAGCCTTATATCGTTGTCCTTACAGTTATCCTCTTTCTCCACTTCTTCGGCGCTCTGCTCTCTGCAAAGAATGGGGAGACATTCTTGCTGTGTGAAGCAGAAGCTGAGAAAAGGGTTGTGGTCGCCTGAGGAAGATGAGAAGCTCTTCAACTACATTAGGGGTGAGCGCGGTTCCAGGGTAGAACCGGGAACCGGAGAACCGGACCCGATGGGTCCGGTTCGGTTCTAGGTTCCATGGACAGAGGGTCCGGTTCTCGGTTCCCCATTTTTAGGAACCGGTTGTTCCGGTTTCGGTTCCCGGTTCCTATAGGAACCGGAACCGGAACCTGGAACCGGAACCGGACCGGAACCGGGAACCGGAACCAAGAACCGGGACCAGGAACCGGATCCCTAAAAATTAAAACATAAACTATACATTTGGTATTTAGAAACCCTAATTCCCAAATGCTAGCTTCTCCTCTTGAATCACCCGATCCTCCATCTTGTCCCTCCTGCTTCCACTTCCGCCTCGCTCCCGCTTTCGCTTCTGCCTTGCTCCTCGCTCCTGCTTCCACTTCCGCCTCGCTCCCGCTTCTGCCTCGCTCCTCGCTCCCTCTTCTTGCTTTCGCCTTGCTCCTCGCTCCCGCTTCCGCGGTTCTCTCCCGCTTCCGCCTCGCTCCGCCTTCTTCGCCGCAGGTCTCGTGATCTCCCCACGCGGATTCGCTGTGATTATTCGGGCTCGCCGCCGTCTTCCTCCTCTGAAGCTCCATCTCTCTGGTACGTAACGTCTTCGAACAACCCCTGCCATTCACGCCTTCTCTCTTTGAATTCCCACCGTTGCTTCTGTTCATCTTTTGCATCGATCGATTGAATTCAATCACGACAATCATGCCTGAGTTGCGTGAAATCGTGCTCTTGCGTGCACATTCATCTGGATTCATCGCCTAGTGAATGTGAGGAGAGGGAAAATGCGGTGGATCTTTCCCCGATTGAATGTGAGGAGAGGGAAGGGGGGGAGTTAACCGATTGGTTAATTGTCGATTGCGATCGTATCTTAAGGGCCTTTGAGATTTGCTCTTTTTGTTGCTACTTTTGGTGATTGTATTTATGGTGGTGTGAAAAATTTGCAGTCGAGATCGTCTTTATCTTGGTCACCTTTCTCTTATTTTCCAATTGGTAACTTTAACGAGCGCTTGAATTTTCTAATTTTCAATCAAACTTTTGGCTGTTGTATTTTCTTGGGGATGATTTTTCTGATACTCAGCTCATTTGGTTTATGTCCTTGCCTTATGCTAACTGCAGTGGAGAAGTGCGTGCCGGAAATGCTCTAATGTGCATTGTCACAGATCCGTGATTTCGTTGATTATATGTTTGATCACCGAACCATTGGAAATATTCTTGTGATGTCAATTGCCGCACAAAGCTTGAGTTTTGTTTGAATAGAAAGCAATGTCGTGCTGTTTCATTCGGGAGAATTAATTATAGCTGGCTGATGAATCTTTTGCATCTTTTCTCTTTCTGCATCTGCAACTCATAGACCTGCATATTCTTTCTCTGATGTTTTGGAAAAATAACTGTGACTGATATTTTCACCTCATCCATGAGACCTCTTGCACTCAAACCCCTCATTCTAGAGACGGCAAGAGCTCTTCTGGTCGAATTGCCTTGTTAAAGTTTCACAGCCTTTCTCCACTCCCTAATTGCATTAGCTAACACGACTCATCACTACTGGAATAGAGACAGAAAAACAAGATCGGCAACAAAGTCTCAAACTTGAGACCATAAACTTCTTGAAATATCAGACCTGATTCTCCTTAGGACATCATCTGCATTAACCTGGCTCAAAAGCTCCCCATGTTCCTCGTTGGACACGTGTTGGAGATGAGCCAGAAGATGTGAAGCAATTCAAAGGAGCTTCTTCTCTCAATCCAAGAAGGTCTTCGGCAGATGCAGAGAAAGTGGCCCTTCTTGGGCGCTTGACCGATCTGTCTTTTTGGATTTTTCGTTCTCTTCTGATGAGAGTCTTATTTTACTCTTCTTTCCAAACAGAAATGACCATTGTATTCATCACAAAAAATACCCTAGGCTGTGAACAATCTCTTCATGCAACAATGGCAGCATCAAATTCGTCCAGAAAAACATTTACCAGCCACCTATCCTCTGTAAAATTACTTGAGATTGTCATTTGAAGCAATATTGTGTCCATGAGAAATGGTTTTGAGCTTTTACTTCTAATGTTCTCAAAATGAAATAAGACGATGTTGATTTTTCAATTTGCTGAGCTACTTGAACAAGTCTATTGGAATGGAAATTTATATTGACTTGCTAAACTACTTTGGAATATGGCTGCTTGAGATTCAAATTGCATTTTCTTTTCTGCTGTCTTGTTTTGTTCTCGTGTCGTTTGATTGATTGTTTAAGTGCTCTCGGCTAATATGTTCTCGTGTTGTTTGCTTGGCCAGCGTTGTTTGATTGACATATCAACTATCAAGAATTCAAGATAACATGTCAATGGAGGTTGATGGATGTGAGGAGATGACTCCGATCACAGAATTTGAATTGTCGGGCGATGAAAATGAAGAAGAGCCATCCCCTACCACGAGTGCAACAAACAAGGTACTTGGTTCTCATCGTCCTCCTCTTAATAAGAAATATACATCCGATTGCTGGAATCATTTTGCAAGAATCAAAGATGGGGATGGAAAAACATATAAGGTGAAGTGCATTCATTGTGGGTCTGAGTTAAAGTACAATGTTGCTCATGGTACTTCCGCAATGAGGAAGCACTTGAAAACA